ACGTACATGTAAAAATCTGGATTTTTTAAACTAGAAAATTACTTAGAACCTCCAAATTTATATGTTTTAAAAAGAGGCCCTAGAGAATAAAATGGTGGGTATTGCAATTTTTTTTATGCTACATGGTATTTGCTCATCGGTTTTTCAGATGAAAATGTTTTGAGAAAAAATACATTTTAAAGAATTTTAGTGAACACAAACACAATATAATGCCAATTTTCTGATAAAATATAAAAGATTATGTTACGCTGAGTAAATAGATATCGAACATGTCATGTTTTAACATTGCGTATGCCTGTGGAATAGTGCCAAACTACGGTACCTATAAATTTCCATTGGTGATGCTTTAAAAACCTTTAGAGCTAACTAGTTTTGAGTTACACAGAAGGTTTGGTGCTAGAATTATTGCTCGTGCTCTGAATTTTGCGACAATACCTCACATGTGTGTTTTGATCACAGTTTACATATGAGTACATGATTTACATGAGTTCGAATTTGCGCATGAGCATGGGAGGACAGGGGCACTTTAATTTTTTGTAATTACTTTTTGATACTGTTCCTTTAATGTTTTTAATCAATTTTGTTGCTATCACAAGGAATTAACAACATCCATTGTGATAGCATGGGCCGTGACAGGTCCTCTTTTCCTCTCCTCCCAAGATCGCTTTGGTCAAATATTTGTAAAGGCCGGTAAACAAAAGACCAAAACATGATATCTTAAAATTCTCTTCACTTCCAGTTTCTGATTTAACAGAGAGGGAGGAACAGCATCAGTGCAAGTGATGTTATCACCCATGTGCCAAGAGTACTGATTTCTTACAAAAAAAGGGGAAAATGGAAAATTAAATCAGAAGCCATTTATTTCAGACTAACTTTCTCTAACTGAATCTCCATTTAACCAAGTATGAACAGAGAAGATTGGAAGGAGGAATGAAGTCAAGAAAGGAAGAAAGAAAGAATGTCAGCTCTTGACTTTTTTTAAAGCAAATGTCACCCAAGCATTCCGTTTTGTGAAATATGACATTAAAGTATACAGTATGTGAACCCTTAACTTGTAAAACAAACCAATCAGTTTAAAATAGAAATGCAAAATAAAAAAATGTGTTTATATATATATATATATATATATATATATATATGCTTGGGGGAGGGGAGTTGTATACTGCAAGAGGCAGAGAAACAGCAGGACACTGATCTTCCCAGTGAAGAGATGTGCAGGGGGGGGGGGGGTGTCAGCATACATCTTGATCAAAATAGAATAGGTAGGCTGTGCACCCAGCACAGTCGGAAAACTGACCATGCTGGAATGGACGTGCTCTCTTACCTAGATATAGGTTTTGATATAGGAAAGCAGAGGCACAGGCAGGACCATCAGCAATTTCACACAAAGTAAGCAATGCAAAAACACAGTATACATTTTAACACAAGTACAACAGACACATATCAGGAATATAAAAATGTTGGACTAACATACACATTAATTCTGATGAAATTTTGGTGAAGGTAATTTAGCAAAAGGTTTCAGCAAAATGCCTATGCTCATCCCAACTCACTCAGTAGGGAAAGGAGGATATGAATTGGAGCTCTGAGGCTTGCAAGTTGCCAGTGACAGTTCTCATTGTTCTTTGCTAGCTCCCCCATAAATCAACTCCCACACATGTTCCATTAACTGGCCAGATAAGCCAGAGAGCAGCCCCAAATTTACAGGATCCTACCTCCATTAGATTGCCTGTATATATCTAGTTTCTGATTGACACAACTGGCACCATCGCTGACGTTACATCTGGTTGCCGCTTGACCAGCACCCCAACATTTCGTCTATTCTGATTTTGTCAAGGAGATCCTGGGTTGAATGAAAAAAAACCTATAGTTGTACCAGGCTTTACTGCATTAGACTGCCAGGTCCACAAACCGCAAATGATTCACACTCAAACCCATGGTAGCAGCAAACCTGAACCTCATCACCACACAATTGTAACTTGCTTGTTGTATTCACTGCCTTGCTGCTCTCCTTCTAGGCTTGGTATGTCACATATCAATAAAAACACATTGGTATTGTGAAACCTCTAAAAAATCATTTTTAAAAATACCCTATAATCACAGGGTGTGTATTACATCAGTAGCTGACGCTTTTCAGGAAGTTTGCACTCTTCCTTAGAGATGCTTCATAAATACTGGTGTTTCTAAAAGGATAATTGAGAAATCCTGTCCTAACCCCATGTTCTGTATCAACCACATCTTTTTCACCAAAAATCCACTAGTGGTGAGACAGATTCACTGTTTTTTTTTATTATACCCCACTGAATGCTGTAAAAAGGTTTCTTTGGCCTCATAATAAAACAAATGCATGTCTTAATTTTTATTTTTTGACCTTTCTCCCACGCCTATTTGGGTTCCTTTTAACCATCCTCTCATTTCCTTTCCTTGATTTACAGAAATAGATGGATTTTTGCTTCCCTTTTATTCTCCGTCTTCCTTTCATGTACTCAAACAGTTAATGTTCCTTTAGTGCTAATTAGATCCTTTTTTTGTGCATGTGTACTTTTTCTGCCTTCGTGACGTCCGTATTGGGAGTGCACTTTGTCAGACAACCTGTATGATGTTCACTTTCAACTCAGAACCTGCTTTTGAGAGCAGGGCTCCTCTAATTATGTCTGGATTCATTTTAATAATGACAAGCAGAATGTTTATTAAAATATAAGAATGTGTGTGACCCTTAGAGAATGCAGGAAGGGACCGGAATTCGAGTTAGCTTAAGCTATGGATACGATGCATTTTAATGGGTGTTTTTCTAATGAATGTGTCCTGAGTGACATTCCTTTCATGGCAATATTCCTTTCAAGGCAATACTCATTAAGAATGGATATATTGATTTTAATGCCCTCGCTGGAGAAACAATAAGGGGGAGATAGAAGGGAATAATGGAAAAAGGAAACATTTTTCGAAACAGTTGTTTTATTAGACTCTATGCAGAGCTAAACACAATTGTGTGGTTTCATTAAAAGGAAAGTCTATAATAATAAATAAAAGGAAAGACATAATACGATATTGTAAGCTGGTTACATGATTATATTATTGTATTCATTTGTGGAACAATATTTCAAAATAGAGGACCAGAAAATGTAATTCAACTGCACATTGAAACTTAGTTAAAAGATACATACATAAATGTTTTAAACATGTTGTACAGTAATATATAGTGTAATAAATAGTGTGGTTCCTTCCCCAACTTTTCATTGGTGGTTCATAATGGCTAATCAGAAACTAGATATGTACTGTCAGTAGCAATACAGGCATTCTAATGAGATATTATGGTTCTCTGTGAGATGCTGAATTAAAAGTCATGACAGGTATATGGAGGTAGGATCCTGTAAATTTGGGGCTGCTCTCTCATCTGGCAAGTTAATGGAATATGTGTGGGAGTTGATTTGTGGAGGACATAGGATCCCCCATGGGAACTGTCCCTGGCAACTTGCAAGCCTCAGTGCTCCAATTCATATCCTTCCTTGGGATGAGCATAGTGATTTTGCTGAAACTGGTTGGTAAATTACCTTCACTAAAATTTTATCAGAATTAATTAATATGTATGTTACCCAAAATTTCATATTCCTGATATATGTCTGTTGTACTATGTGCTTGTGTGAAAAAGTATCCTGTTGTCTTTGCATTGCTTACGTTGTGTGAAATTGCTGATAATGCTGCCTTATCACCTGCTTTCCTATATCAAACTGACCTCTCTATGCAAGAGAGCACGCCCATCTCAGCATGGTCAGTTTTCTTACTGTGCTGGGAGCACAGCCTACCTGTCCTCTTTTGGCCAAGATGTATGCTGACATGCCCCCCCCCTCACAGCTCTTCACTGGAAAGATCAGTGTACTGTTGATTCTCTGCCTCCTGCTGACCGCCCCCCCAAAACCCACACACACAGTTTACACCCCTCTCCAAGCCTCTTATACAGCTGAGAACAGAGGTCATGTGATCACTTATAGGAAAAAATTAATTGATATTTTTATTTTTTATAAATAAACACAAATATTTTTTTTGCACTTCTATTTTAAACTGATTGGTTTGTTTTACAAGGTAAAGGTTCACATACTGTATACTTTAATGTAAAATTTCACAAAACGAAATGCTTGGGTGAAATTTGTTTAAAAAAAGTCAAGACCTGACATAATTACGAATTTCTTTCTTCTTTTATTCCCCATCATTCCCCCTTCCCAAATGCTCTTTTCATACTAGGTTACATGGATATTGATTTAGAGCAAGTTAGTCAAAATAGATGTCTTCTGCAGTGATTTTTCATTTTCCCTGTTTTTTCAGAAAACAATAATCTTTGCACATGGCTGTCATGGATGAACATTATATCAAAATATTTCATTGTTAAAGATTTTATGGTAAGAAAACTAAGAACAGTTTCTAAAAGAGAGCACCTACAGGAGCCACTCTAGGAGAGAAAATGAGAAAGAGTGAAGCTAAATAGAGATTTTTAAATTGGAAGCACTGTTTATACTATTAATGGAGGTGTTCTGAGTTAGGACACACTCATCAATCAGCAGCAGTAGAGGGAGCTGTGGATGAGTTTTTCCATTTTCCAAGGCAATTAGACTGTGCACTTTGCAAAGTGCAATTACACTCTGCAAGTACAGTTGCTCCAGAGCTTAGTCAATGAGCAGAAGCTCTGCTGACTTCCACCATCCAATCATGTGCAAGAAAAAATGCAGTTTTTTTTTATTTTCCTTGCATGTGATTGGGTATTATTGGCAAAGGGAAGCTTTACCTCATTTACTAAGTGCTGCAGCAACTGCACTTGCAAAGTGCACAGTCTATTTGCCTTTAGTAAATCATCCCCTATATCTATATAAGGCACTGGTGCTCAACCTGCAGCCCAAGGACCGCACAGGGGCAGACTGACAACTCATGGGGCCCCCGGGCAATAGGGGATCATGGGGCCCCTGTGTCCTCACCCACACTCAAATCACACCCAAAAAAGCCTATGAAAGGTACCAGGGACATCTCATGGGGCCCCCTACTGACCCCGGGCCCTCGGGCAGTGCCCGAGTTCCCCAATTGTCAGTCCGCCCCTGGGACCGCATGCACACCTCAGCAGTCTGTAGAGGGAACATTGATTAGGATAATAGCATTGATCTCTACTAATCTCATATAACATTCTTCCAGATTTGTAAGTCAGAAATTTAAGAGTAAGAAATTTTTCATGCTGCAGAGTTTACTAAGCTCCCAGTTATGTATTGTCTTCTGCAGCATATCCCCAGCTAAAAATGAATGTCCACACTCTCTGACTATTTCTCTATTAGATCTTCAGTTTCTGACAGTCCTCTCAAGCAAGTTCAGCCTTTTGGTGATGTCAGGGGCCACATTTGAGGCCCCCTTTAGCTCATAAGTTGACAACCACTGATATAACGGATGGGGATCAGGTTTGTGACTTATAATGGGTTCAAAAATAGTCCCTGAGATTAGTAAATCTTACTCTTTTTTGGCAGAAAACTTCACAGGTTTGCTGCCAGATGCATTGCATAGTTTTTTGCTTCTGGTCAGCTGTGTCATAAAAGCCAATATTTTGAAAAGGTGGCCTCACACCAACCATATTTTTATTGTGTGTTGGAGCTGTTAGGAAGTTCTGGCAACATAATGGGCTGTGTGGAAGCAATCGGGAGACAGCGCTGGGGCAGGGCTGGGCGGCAGCAGGCAGAGGCATCACAGCATGCAGGACCACAAAATGTGAGATGAATTATTTCCCCCTTGCTCCTCTGTAATGGAAATTGGAATGGTAGCAAGGAAATGCCAGTTGGGCTTGGCTTTAATTCACATGCCTAATATGTGCCATGAGGTCAGATGCAGCACAGGCATGCACCCCTCTTGGACCCACCCCGCAGCCTGACCTGAGCAGTAACATTTAGCCAGCTTTGAAACTGCACATGCTCAGGTTAAAGCCGTATATTTACCCTGCACTCTTTGCCCATTTAGGGACATTCACGGAAAGACAAAAAGTGCCTGATTCTTACAAACTGTCCGAAAATATATGAATGGTTGGCAACCCTGATCAGTTTGGACTCATGTTGTGAGCTTATGCAGGCCATAGACGGGTCGTTTATTGGACAAATTTCACACCGGCCGATATTCACACCGTTAGTGGGGCAATGCCGTCGACCATTTTTCGCAGATCTTCTCATTTCTTTTTATTGGTCATGCTGGAAAATCCACGAAAAACGGCCATTTTTTGTAAGCATTGGTGGCAGCATCGACAGATTTTTTGTTTATCGGCTGACAATTCTGCCGATAAAGGGCCCGTCTATGGCCAGTCTTGACTTAGGTAAACAGGTAAGCTAGTTTCTAACTTACCACCAAGCAAATAAGACCTTCAGCCAAATAAATTTTTGTCTTTGTCATTATTTGTCTTTGATGGTCTGACAGCTGTACTAGGGGTGTGGGATTGTTTTGAGGCTAGACATATCTTTATACTGCCTATGAATTATACCTATCTAATCAGCCTAAAGTAAGAGCAGTGGTGTGTTTTTAAGTCAGCCTACATACAATTGACAGCTTGGTGCAAATTAAGCATCTAAGTCTCTCTGATTCAATTTCAAGGGCTGCTTTGTAGCTCTAGTGATTCATGCTGGAGAGTGTTATAGGGGGAGCTGTACAAGTGATTACATCCCATTATATGGACTTAAAACTTTAAAAACACTCTCAGTGGGCTTTTATACTGGCAGACAGCAATTCTACTTTAGAACAAATGTTAGGTCTGGGGTTTGGTGGCTCATGAACTCATGGCATTAAGAAGAAAGAGCGTTAAAAAGTTGGCAGCTTGCAGAGTCACAGATAGCCCTCTACTGCCTGTCTTACACAGTGGCAAGCTTCAGTGCATCTAAAGCCAAAATGTTTTTCTGTTTTGGAATGGGTGCTGAGAGGTTTGAAACTGTGCCAGGTTTTATAGCTGTCTGTGTCCTCATTAGTGTGATTTACTCTATTTGTCCCAGTGACCACCTTCAAGGAAAAAAACTGAGAGGAATTCTTCAATTGGGAACTTTGCTCTTGGTATACTTCATGGCAAATATTTCACCTTCTTTTAGGTATGTTATATAATGGTAAGCCAAATGATCCGACAAACAGTGGTATACAACTTGGTGTTTCTAATAAATGCAGAGTAAATTGACAGTGCAGATAAAATAGAGTAACTGAGATGCTGGACGTACAGTGGATATAAAAAGTCTACACATCCCTGTTAAAATGTCAGGTTTCTGTGATGTAAAAAAACGAGACAAAGATAAATAATTTCAGAACTTTTTCCACCTTTAATGTGAAATATAAACTATATAACTCAATTGTAAAACAAACTGAAATCTGTTAGGGGGGGAAGTAAACATAAAATATTAAAATAATGTGGTTTCATAAGTGTGCACACCCTCTTATAACTGGGGATGTAGCTGTGTTAAGAATTAAGCAATCACATTCATAATCATGTTAGATAGGAGTCAGTACACACCTGCCATAATTTAAAGTGCCTCTAATTAACCACAAGACAGTCATCATCAAAGTGGAGAAAACAGTGACATTACCAAGAATTGGACGTCCATCCAAAATCGATGAAAAGACAAGAAGAAAATCAGTCTGGAAGGCTGCCAAGAGGCCTACAGCAACATTAAAGGAGCTACAGGAATATCTGGCAAGTACTGGCTGTGTGGTACATGTGACAAAAATCTCCCATATTCTTCATATGTCTGGACTATGGGGTAGAGTGGCAAGACGGAAGCCTTTTCTTACGAAGAAAAACATCAAAGCCCGGCTACATTTTGCAAAAACACATCTGAAGTCTCCCAAAAGCATGTGGGAAAATGTGTTGTGGTCTGATGAAACCAAACTTTTTGGCCATAATTACAAAAGATATGTTTGGTGCAAAAACAACACTGCACCAGGGGCGGACTGACCATTTGGAAACTCGGGCACTGCCCGAGGGCCCGGTGTCAGTAGGGGACCCCATGAGATGCCTCTGGTACCTTTTTCATAGGCTTTTTTAAATTTGGGCAAGGACACAGGGGCCCCATGATTGCCTATTGCCCGGGGGCCCCATGAGTTGTCAGTCCGACCCTGCACTGCACATTACCAAAAGAACACTATACCCACGGTGAAGCATGGTGGTGGCAGCATCATGCATTGGGGCTGTTTTTCTTCAGCTGGAACTGGGGCCTTAGTCAAGGTAGAGGGCATTATGAACAGTTCCAAATACCAGTCAATATTGGCACAAGATTTTTAGGCTTCTGCTAGAAAGCTGAACATAAAGAGGAACTTCATCTTTCAGCATGACAACGACCCAAAGCATACATCCAAATCAACAAAGGAATGACTTTATCAGAAAAAGATTAAAGTTTTAGAACGGTCCAGCCAGAGCCCAGACCTGAATCCGATCGAAAATCTGTGGGGTGATGTGAAGAGGGCTGTGCACAGGAGAAGCCCTCGCAATCTGACAGATTTGGAGTGTTTTTACAAGAAAGAGTGGGCAAATATTGCCAAGTCAAGATGTACCATGCTGATAGACTCATACCCAAAAAGACTGAGTGCTGGAATCAAATCAAAAGGTGCTTCAACAAAGTATTAGTTTAAGGGTGTGCACACTTATGCAACCATATTATTTTTTATTTTTATTTTTACTTCCCTCCATCTAAAAGATTTCAGTTTGTTGTTCATCTGAGTTGTACAGTTTATAGGTTAAATTAAAGGTTGAAAAAGTTGTGAAATTATTTATCTTTGTCTCATTTTTTAATATCACAGAAACCTGACATTTTAACAGGGGTGTGTAGACTTTTTATATCCTCTGTAGTTCCCACACTTGTCTACTAGGTGGAAGTAAAATATAACAGATTCCTAGAGAACAGGGACATTGCCTTACATAAAGGACAATGTAATACAGTCAATACAAATGTAGTCACGTGTGGTTCCCCAGGAAAGGGATGTAACGCCTCGCTCACTAAGAGGTTGGCTGTGGATGATAGCTCAGGTAGCTAGTCACAGGGATCCCCAGGCAGGTTCCTCAAGGATATGGCTGGAGGAGAATTTGATTGTAAGGTTCAGGTGAATGAAAGTGTATGTAAATTTGTATTACTCCCTTTTGGTCTGTTGCAAAAAAGCTGTTTATCCAGCCAGAAATCTTGTGAGCTGATAACTTCCTGTATTGTGTTACTTTAGACTGTTATCAGTTAGCATTGTCCCCTGCTATCTCATTGGACTACAAAACATCTCCATTTGTCATCTGGGTACCACATGCATGGACAGAAGAGATGGCGGTGCTATGTTGCTCTGACATAATGGTACATAGTCCTAACACACTATTTTTCCTGGGGAGACAACGTTTCTCAGTTCATTTGGGGGGGGGGGGAGGCGGGGGGGAAATGCACCATAGTGAGAGGGGCACTGTTGCTGACAGGAGTGGTGAGAGTGATCTCACTACTCCTGTCAGATAGGAAACTGATGTAAGGGGGGGGGGGCTCTGAAGAACTCTGATGTAAAGTATGGGCTCTGAAGTTAGGGGGACACTGATTTAAGCGGGGACTCTAATGTAATGTAGGCACTGATGTAAGGGGGACACATTGATGTAAGGGGGACTCTTATGTAAGGGGTCACTGATGTAAGGGGAAAGCTGCGATGATAGGAAGGCACTATTGTAAGGGGGGACACTGATGGAACGGAGGATTGGTGTAAGGGATGGCACTGATATAAGATGGGAAACTGATATAAGAAGGGACACTGATATAAAGGGGGGAACTGATGTAATGGGGGCTCTGAAGTAAGAGGGAACTCTGGTGTAAAGGGGACGCTGATGCATAGAAGGCACTATTGTAAGGGGGGGCACTGATGTAAGGAAGAATTAATGTAAGAGGGGAGATTGATATTAAGGGGGGAACTGATATAAGGAGGGGCTCTGAAGTAAGGGGGCTCTGATGTAAGGAGGAACACAGATGTAAATAAGAACTATGATGTAAAGGGGGGGGGCATGTGTAAGGTGGGACTCTGATGTAATAGGGGACACTAATGTAAGGGGGGACTTTAAAATAAGGGGGGGCACTAAACTAAAGAAATACATTGATGTAAAGGGGAATACTAATGTAGGGTGGGGCATTGATATAGGGGGGGGGGGATATTGATGTAAGACGGGACTCTGATGTAAAACGGGATTCTAATGATAGGAGTGACTCTGAT